AAAGATTCATAGCAATACTGAAGAAGTCAATGTTGGAGTTCTTTATAACAGTATAATGAGTATCTTTGACATTCACGAAGAAACCCTTTTGTTTCAAAACTACTGCTAACTCTTGTGAAGTATAACGTTTGCGGTCAATGACAATAGCTAATGGTCTGACATACTGACCGAACTTAGATTCTTTCACAAACTTCTTGTTAAAGATAACATTAACGTTTGCAGAACCATTGAACTCATTCTTGATGGCAGTAGCGAGAGCATTGTATGAAAAGAACTTGCAATCTTGCATGTGTTTCATTAAAATAAAAATATTAAATTATTTTGAAAAATAACTTAAAAAAATGTAATCTAATTTTTCAAAAAATATTTTTTATCCGATAGAAAAGATGACAGAAAAATTAACTTTTTACATAGCGCCAGACCCTTCTTGCCCACATCCTTTTAAGCCACAATATATAGACATAGAACTAAATAGAGAAAGCGAAATTCCACAATATATATACATAGAACTAAATAGTGAAGGCGAAATTCTACAAACAGAAGAAAGCGAAATTCCACAAACATATAGAGACCTAGATAACGAAAATGGATATGCGCTATTCTGGTTAGATTGTCCTTATAAAATGTATGAAAAAAAGGCTTTATATGAAGAATATAGAAAATATTGTCATGAAAACGATATAAGACCAAGCTCTAGAGAAAAATTCTATGCTGGTATAAAACATCTTTTCGAAGTTCGGAATGGCAAATATATAAAGAAATAATTTTTCTAAGTTTATTTTTTCGAAAAAATATTTTTTTATTTCCTACTAAAGATGTATCGGAAGTTGTCTAAGTTAGAACACTCGGAAATAAAACAACTTCTTACAGAAGCTAATATAGATGTTGCAAAACATTACGCGACAAACAAAAAAGCACTCGCTGACTTCATTAAAGACTACAATGGTGCAATAAGTTATGATAGAATTCATGAGTTCATAAAGCCGCAACGCGGCGAGGACGAAGTCCATGCAAGAGCATTTCCTTTAAATGACATTGCTATTGACTTATATCATAGACGTTCAGTACCTCATGAAGTAAGAAGAGAAATGTTTGACATAACAAATGCGAACGTTGGTGAAACAAGAAGAAGAGACGACACACTGAAACAACAGAGAAGAGAGATGTTTAAAAGTGCTATAGAACAAGTTCGCAAAGCTAACGATGTCATTCGTTCCATTGACGACAAACCAAAAGAAGGTGAGAGATGGTTAAAGAAAGATGAAGAGAATAGGAAGAGAAATGTGAAGTCAGGCAATAGACTCATTGACTTTAACATCGAAGCTTTAGATGAACCAAACAGAGACTATTTACACAAACATTTCGGTAAGGTTTTCATGAGACTCTTAGAGAAGATTAAAATAAACTCCAACAAAGATGGATGGTATGTTATAAACTTGGTGGAAAGTATGAATGTTCTACGTTAAACCTCAATAATATTGGAACATTACTACATCAGCTCTTGAAGGAGAACTTTATATCAGAGATAGAAGCAAATGCTGCAGGTATTGTTGAAATGCACTATGACTTCTTCTTGACAAACATAAAGAATCTTACTGAAATAAAGATGTATGATTTAACAGAATATGAAGGCTTAACGATGTCAGATGTAAAGAAAGGCAAACCAAAAAAGAGACCATATAGAGATGAAAGCACACTGACAAATGACCAGAAAGCCATTTTGGAACTCTTAAACAAACAGGAAAAACAGATATAGATGACTTTGGAAAGAAATGGTGAAAAGAAGTTTTATAAGAAGAGAAGCGGTCAGTTCTGGAAGTATCTTTGCACATTACCTATAAATCTTGAACGCTACCAAATCTTCAATGAACTGAACAAAAGAACTGCAACACTTATGACAGAGGACAATTGTTTCGTTTATGCTTGCATTCAGGCTGGAGTAAATGAAGAAACTATTGACCACATGAGAGAAGTCATTCGTGTTAGAGACTTTCCTCAAAGTAAAGTACAAGAAATTTCTGACGCAACAGGTATAGCATTTAATGTTACCATTGGTTATTTCAATGACTCAAGACATAATGAAATAAAGAGATATATACCAAAAGAATGCGAAACTGTTAGAACTATTGACTTACTTCTTGTTGAAGACCACTACATGCTAAATGAAAGACTTCCAATGACAACATACTTCATTCGAAACTATAAAGAAATTCTCAAAGCTTGTGGTGGAATGAACATTGAGAAACAGATGAAGATTTATACAAAGAGAGAAGATAAATATGTAGTTCGTTATGATAGAACAACACCGTTATGGGATGTTATGAAAACATTGTGGGAGTGCAAATATTTCGAACCTATTTCTTATGGAGAACTTTTCACATATACTACTGACTTATATAAACAGAACCTTGCACCATTTAAAGATTTGACATATGCTCCAAAGTATTGTGTACAACTGAAGAAGAAAGCAGAGTCAAAAGAAGTAAATAAAGCTAAATGTAAATTCATTCCTGAGCACGTTTTCTTTGCTGACTTTGAGTGTAGTACGGATGGCTTTCATAAAGCTTTTAACATCTGTTATGACAGTGAAGATGGTTCAGTTAGTGAAAGCATTTGGGGTCAAAACTGTGCAACAGAATTTTTGGAAAGACTTCCTGACAAGAGTTTAATATATTTCCATAACCTCAGTTATGACATAAACTTCATCTTAAGACACATGACAGAAGTGAAAGGAACTCCCATCATTAAAGGTTCACGAACAATGCAAATAACTGGTTTATATAAAGGACGGGCAATTATTATAAAAGACTCTTACAGTGTTATAAATAAGAAGCTTAAACTATTTCCTGCTATGTTTAACTTACAAACAGGACCGAAAGAAGTATTTCCATATAACTACTACAGCAGTGTTTTGTTAGCAAATGACAACAGAACTGGTGTCATTTCTGAAGCATGTAAGTTTATCCATGATGCAGATACATTTATGAAAAACATAGATTCCATCAAAGGTTGCAGAATAGATGAGAACCACTTCGACTTAGAAAAATATAGCACGTTTTACTGCAAACAAGATGTAAGAATTTTAAGAGAAGGTTTTGTAAAGTTCCGCAATGACTTATTGAAAGAGTTTGATTTAAACGTTTATGACTACGTTAGTATTTGTTCTATTGCTAACAAATTGTTTGAGAACAGAGTATACTTCCCGAATGGAAATCTTTATGACCTCTCAAATAAACCAAGAGAATTTATTTCGAGATGCATTCAAGGTGGAAGATGTATGTTGTCAGATAACATGAAACAAAAGAGCAAAAAGAAACTCATTGCTGACTTCGACACTGTTTCATTATATCCTTCAGCTATAGCAAGACTTTATACTTTAGAAGGTATTCCAAAAGTATTGAAGGAAGAAATGTTAAGCACAGAGTATCTCATGAGACATTTATTCGATGACGACCAAAAGGAACCCATTGGTGAAAAGTTTATGTCTGGCTTCTTTGTTCTCATTAAGATAACAGAGATTGGTATACCCAGACACTTTCATTTAATAGTTTGCGACCCTGAACTAAATCCAGAACTTAACGTTCCAAGAAGTTCAAACACTTGCTGTCTCATGTATGTTGACCATATAACATTACAAGACCTCATAAAATATCAAGGTGTCAAATGTGAAGTGTTGCAAGGATACTATTACGATGGAAACAGAGATATGAGAATAAGAGATGAAGTAAAGAAGTTGTTTGAGTTAAGGTTAAAGTATAAGAAAGAAGAAAACCCCTTACAAGAAATTATAAAACTCATTCTGAACAGCATTTATGGCAAAACTATTCTATCTCCTATTGAGTCAAAAATAACCATAGTAAATGACAAAGATGCTATAAGATATGCTATAAGAAATTACAACCATATAGTGAAGTTCGAAGGTTTGGATGGTTCAGATAAAACTATTTTCAAGCTAACGAAAAGCATTTGCAGACACTTTAACTTCTGTCCACTTGGTGTTAATATTCTGTCTATGTCAAAACGTATTATGAATGAAGTATTCTGTACTGCAGAGGACATGGGACTTCAAATCTTTTACCAGGATACCGACAGTATGCACTTATATAATGAAGACATCCCAAAGCTTGCAGCAGAGTTTAAGAAGAGATATGGTCGCGAACTTATAGGAAAGAACCTTGGTCAATTTCATAGCGACTTTGCAGAAATAACACCTGGAAAACAAAGTTTAGCTTATAAAAGTATTTTCTGTGGAAAGAAGACCTACATAGACTTACTCACTAACGATTTAAATGAAGTTGCATTTCACTGCAGAATGAAAGGCGTGAAGCAAGATGTTATTGCTTTAACCGCTAATGAAATGTTTCCTGAAGCTATACAATGCTATTACAATGAAGATAAGAACATTCACATACCTGTTGGAACATATGACAAAGACTCTGAGTTCAGTTTAATGAAACTTTACAAAGCACTTTATGATGGTCAAGAGATTGCATTCGACTTATGTAAGTCATGTCAACCTTGCTTTGCTGAAAAGTTCAACTTTTCAATAACGACTAAAACAAGCTTTATTCGTAAGTTGAAGTTCTGAGGTCATTTATTTTTGTCAGCAATGAGGTCATTCGTGATAAAAATAAAGCTAGCGTAGATTTTACAATACTGCGATGGTAGAGTTTAAGAGTTGTGCTTCAATGTAGAGACAGTCCTTCCATCTGGAGGCAAGAACACTGGACATTTATGGTCATGAGTGGAGTACATGTCTATCCAAAACTCACGATTGAAGCCAGTTAATTTATAGTATTTAGGGTTAGGAAGTGGTGAAGTTCTTGTATGACCAATGAACTCATTTTCAACGCCTTTGGCTATATTAGAGTAAAGTATTGCTTGCTTTCTATCCCAAATGCCAGGTGTTACAATCTTTGAAAATTCATTTTTCCTCGGAAGCATTGCATCATAATTGAAAACATTCTTAAAATCATCACTTGGTTCGGAGATTTGAAATCTTATACGTAATGGATTTTCTTTCTTTTAGCGACTTCATTGAATGGTGAGAATACAATGAATTGACAGTCATGAGTTCCATCTTCATTTTCATTAAATTCATAATGAAAGTCTATAAGTTGTGGCTGACTACCTTCTTCTTTCAGTTGTGCAAGAAACTCACGTAAAGGCTGTAAAGTTTGTACTTCAATATTGAACTTTTTCTCGAACATCTCATTAAATGAAATCATACATTGCAATGTTGTATCGTCTTTAAAGTATTTGTATATGTGAATGTTTTGGGCGCTTAAAGACTGTTCGTCATTTTCTATCTCGACTTGAAGTATAAAGTCAACCTTTCTGAAAGCACGTGTTATATACATAGATGTTATGCCAATGTACTTCTCTTCATTTATGTTCACAATCCAGTCTGTTGGAAACTTAAACGTTACTCTGTTCCCCTTTATTTTGACGTCAGGGTTTTCACTACTGAACGCAACAGTTAAAGGTATTTGTCTATACATTTAATTCGGATAAAAATAAACCATTTACTCTTTCTTTGCTTCAGCTTCTTTAGCTTTTGCTTCTTCTCTAGCTTTTTTCGCCAGCAAACGTGGGTTCTTCTGTCTTCCAGCAGCTAATGCAGCTAGTTGTTTTTCACTAAGTTTTCTCTTTGGTCTCTCTGGCTTTTGTTCTTGTTTTTGTTCCTTCAGTTCGGATAAAATTTGTTCACGAATTTCTTTCTTCAATGCTTCAACATCTATGACCCCTTGGGTCTTGTCCGTAGGATTTGACTGAGTCATTTGACTGTAGATAAAAAACTAAATTAAAACTTTAACCGATGTAAAATGAGCTTGTCAAAATCAGAACGAGAGTCTATTATATTAAATGACGCCAGAGGAATACAACATCCTTTCTATTATGTAAGTCAGAGTAAAGATGGTAAAATATATGTAAGAAAAAGAAAGGTTCCATTAGCGAATACAGAGAGCGACAACATTAAGGTGCATGGCAAGGGTGAAGTCCACGAAGCCCATATAAAACCTTCTGTACAAACTGAGCCACCAAAAGAACAAGAAGAAAAGAAGCCAGATGTACTTTCAATAACGAACCAAGAGCTTATTGCAAAGTTCGTGAATTTCATTGAAAAGCAAACCGAGTCAAAGAACCCTGACCCACCAGTGAAAGAAGTTGAGACAAAAGAGAATGTACAGTTCATTGAAAATGTCAAGAAACAACTTCCACCACGAATACCAAGAAGAAGAGTGAGAATAATGAAGTAAATAGATATTTTTATCTGAAGTAAATACATGCAGAACGAACAGTTAAACGAATTTACTCCAGCAGAGCATATTCATCAGATTCGCTCATATTTCGATATCATAGACAATGCAGTTCAAATTGGTGACACTAATAGAAAATATTCTGACGCAAAGATTCCATCACAACCTGGAACTGCTAAAGATAACACATGGGTAACATTCAATCTCTCACCTCCTGGTGAAAATATGTTGGACCTTTACAATACATTCATTACGTATAAAATGGAAGGTCAATTTATTGTAGATAAAGAAATTGGTTCAGGTTCCAATAAAACAAACCCACCAGGATTTTGGATTGGTTTCGATGACGCTTTCTATGCAGTTGCTGGATATCAAATCCTTGCAAATGGTCGTATCGTATATTCTCAAGACAACGCAAGAGAAGAAGCATATATAACTTCAAACTCACAAACTACCGAACAAATAAAGAAAGTAGATGTTTTCTCAAAGACTCGACATGAAGATGTATGGAGTCATTCGGGAACATGCAGAACAGGACAAATTGTTAGGTCCAATTACAGCAGGAAAATCATTTGATTTTAAGCTTCGTTTAAGAATTCCTGTTAGAAGATTCCTTCCATTAGAAGCTATTCGATTTATTCCAGCTTTTGCAGGAAACATTCAGCTTAAAGTAAAGTTCAGTAGCGACGCCTTACAATGCACATCTATATCTGTAAATGATATCATTGCTTTCAATCCAACTCTTAAAGTTGCATTTGCTTCAATCCACCGACAAATAAATTTGTTCCATGGAATGAACCATTCACTATGATAACGAAGGCAGTAGAAGCTAGTGGAACAGTTACTATTACAACTGTAACCCAGCAACTATTTCGAACAAAGATGGATTTTAATGAATGTTTCATTCATCCAAAGTCATTCTCTTTAGACCCTAACATTTATACAGAACTTGTAGAACATTATACAAACGAGGCTTTTATGTTTCCTGTTAAAGTTATGGATTGGATTCCTATGGACGGTTCATTCTCAAAGAATACAGATAGTTCAAGTGCAACATTTACAGCAGCTTATACGCCTATTAATGTTAAAAGTATTTGGGCACTATTTAGAAAGAAAGACAACTATTATGTTAATTTTGAGAACCCTAAGTTTAAATATCTTCAGCTTTCCATGGGAGCTTATGGAAATATGCCTGCAGAACCTGAAAAATCATATGGACCTGTATTTTATGAAATGGTTGCGAACGCTTGCAATACAAACAATGATATGATAGGATTTAATGAAGATGTTATGAGGTCATTGGTGGATGATGGTAGTGTGGAACATAAATGGGATAGCTATGACAACACACATTTCTTATGTGGTTTTCCAACAGAAGTGGACTTTTGCTTCCAGCAAGGTCAAACATCTACTGCTCCAATAACATACAAATTGTCTGTTAAAGGACCTATTGAACTAGCAACTGAAAATGTACCAAAGCCACTTATTGGATTTATGAGGGATTGTTGCTTTGCAATACAAGTAAGACAGTCAGGCATACCAATAATAAGACTTGACGACTATAACTTAGCAACTGACGACAGTGAGGAATAAAGGATGAACGTTTATTTTTAAAGCTTATAAATGAGTTCTTCATCAAGCTCTCGTGAACCTTCACCATCTGTGAAACAAACTTTACCAAACGATTATGGAGCACCTATTGAATATTTCTTACGAGCTGCACAATGGCAAAGAGCAGTTTCACCAAGGTTAGGTGTTCCACCAGCTCCTGTCAAAAATAGCATTTGGTCAAGTCCTTATATAAGATATGGTCTCCCACTAGGTTTGCTAGCTACAGCAGGAGCAGTTATGATGTTGAAAAGAAATAAAGCAAATGTTATAAATAATACTGAAGTAGCTGAAGTTAAACAAACTCCAACACCTTCGTCAAAACCAACGCCTTCACAAGCAAAACCTTCAATGACTCCTGAACCTATGGAAGTACAAACTCCTGTTCAAAAGTCAACTCCTAAACCGACTCCAACATTTAAACCAGAACCTACTCCTCAAATAAATCGTAAAACTCCTGCGTTTCCTTACTGAAAAATAACGTTATTTTTATTTTATTTGAACATTTTTATTTGATTGAAATGACGACTAAAGTCACTGAAGCAATGAAACAAAAGTTTTTGGTAGAATACATTAAATCAGGAATTATTCCAGAAGGTTTTTACGTTCATACTATGAAGGATGGTAGAGTTCAGTTTAGAAAGATAAAGCAACCATTAGATAGAGAAGGAATTTTGAGAAAGATTAAACTTCATGAGGACAACATTGCTGAACTTAAGAAGAAGTTAGAAGAGTTGGAGAAAGGAAGAGAGTTATAAAGTAATGAATTCAACGGGTGAAAAAACAGGTGAAAAAAGAGGTGAGATATCACCACTTCACCTAAATTTATTTTTGTGCTATGTTTTCATACGTGTGAGGGTGGTGATATCATTAATTTTTAAGTTTATTTTTACTGAAAATTTTTATTTGGATGTAAATGACGAAAACTATTGAGATAACAAACTACAACGGTCATGAGTTCAAGAATTTGTTCTTCGTTCCTCGTGAAAATACATTCTATCAGATACGAGGGAGAAAGGGTAAAGTTAGTTTGAGCGTTTATGAAGGAATGAAGAATGGAAAGTTTATACAAGCATACGATACAAACGGTAAACGTGTTTCATTAGCTTTGTCAAAACTTACTAACATTTATTTTGACAGTGACTTTGACTCTGACGATTGGAGCGACAGCAGCGATACTGAAGAATATGAACTATTGTGTGAAGCACAGCAATGGGAAGAGTTGCAATACTTTTGTAAGTGAGAACGTTTATTTTTACAGTAGTGAGGTGAAGTGGTTGGCGGCTTTATAAATATTTAAGGTTAAGTTGGTGTTTGTGTTTGTGTTGTAAAATATACGTTAACGGTTTTGTAAAGTGTCAAATTCACAAGTATTGCGTACGGAGGAACGCAGTGCCACAGTACACATGATATGTATACTAACTGTGGATACTTACATTTGTATTCGATCGTGGAGTATTCTTTCCTGCATTTTTGAGAGTAGCCCATGCTAGCTTTTATCTCTTCTTGGATACCAAACTGGAGGAGCTCCATAGTGTTGAATATCACGGGCTCCATACAACAAATTGAATAAGGTATTTCAAAATTTGAAGGAAATGGTCCATCATTGAATGTAGTGGCCGGGAATTGAATGACATACAGATAGTTTGAGGAAATTTGTTATAAATTATAATATAATTGAAGAATTAATTATCAAAACAAGTCTAAGAGCCATTAGTCAGATTTTCCCGAAATGCAAGGTTAAGATTTTAGCAGCGACTAACTTTGAGTGTACATATATAATTGTTATACTGAGTACTTTCTATCTGTGTTACTTATTTGAGTCTAAGAGCCATTAGTCAGATTTTCCCGAAATGCAAGGTTAAGATTTTAGCAGCGACTAACTTTGAGTGTACATATATAATTGTTATACTGAGTACTTTCTATCTGAGTTACTTATTTGAGTCTAAGAGCCATTAGTCAGATTTTCCCGAAATGCAAGGTTAAGATTTTAGCAGCGACTAACTTTGAGTGTACATATATAATTGTTATACTGAGTACTTTCTATCTGTGTTACTTATTTGAGTCTAAGAGTCATTTCTACCATAGAACTAGATATTGTCTCTCATTAAATATATATAACTGTAAACTGCTTAATTCATTTATCTATTTAGATAAAATTATATTTATATAAGATTTCATGTTATTATTTCATCTTTATTATTTTTTTTATTCCTTTGAAAAGTGACACTGGATAGTTTGTCCCTTTCTCAAAGAAAACAATAATAAGTCCTATTGTTAATACAAGTTGTCTTTTTTAGTGGGAAATGCTATAAACAAGCATGTTTTTCAAGTGTTCTATT